ATTGTTACGTTCAGTAGTTTGCCATTGCTACTGAACGGTCAGCTCTCGGTACCACTGTCGAAACCAATGCAAGACAAATCGTCCACAGTTGGGATCCAACCCGGCACCCCGGCATTACGAAGCGCGTTCGCAACGCCTAAGCCACAAACGCCGACCCATCCTAGATACACGTTCCCAACTAGGGGGCCTGGCCAACGTAGACAGGATTTATGTTTCCTTGAAACGCGGAGTGCACCTGCCGGAGGGGCGAGGAACCAATAACCTGCACACAAATTATCCAGATCTGTAAAAACGGATGTGTGTGTATAGCTCAAGTTCTGGGACACGATCAAAGTCCAGAAGTAGATGAACAACTAGGACTTTTCGCCGGAGTTTACAAAGAAGAAAAACAATTAGTCTCTCGTCTCTTTGATTCCCTCGGAGGATCCTCATCCCAGACCTGGGCTAACAGATGAGCTAAGTCTATGTGTAATCCAGCCATAGCAGGGGTCAAAGGTGACACAGTTAACATACACCAACGGCAGAAACCAATCAGCGACGCCTAAGTCGGTCACGTGACGCCGAGGCAAGCGAGTGCTTTCACTCCATTTTCCCGAGGCTTGCCCGTGTGTATGTCTGCAAGTTGTGGGTTCCTTTTTGTGTGTGATTATTTCCTCGGCTCTTCTACCTCGCAGAATCAATTCCAACCTACGGATTATAATGGAATCAAACTGTGTAATTATAAACATGTTTACGAACGCAGGGACTTGAGGTTTTTTGCCAAGCGTTCGGGTTTTAGTAGATGTTTTGTGTTTTGGTTGCTGGCTTTCTCGCTGCCACGGTAGACCTCTGATCGTGTTTGATCGTTCGTTCCTCATCGCCTGGAGAAGTCGATAGTTTGTGGTGGTAATAAAACGTGTGTTTAGACTTTATTCTTTACGTTTTGAAATTAGAATCGCTGACATTCCTGGGGATTCATGTGCCAAAATAACGTGTGGATAATCAGTTACTATTAGAAGTCTGTGTTTTGAACCAGTTGCTGATGCTGGTGGGGTGGATTCTGGGAAGATGGGTGATGAACCGTGATGCCGGGGTCTTTAACTATAATAATGTCTATGGCTGTGATGTGTTGTGGAATGAACCCGCTCACACCAAGCAACTTTCCGTGCTTTCGTTGGCTGTTTCTTACGCTAAACATTTTTTTCCTTAACTACTTAATTCCATGTTACGTTATGTCACTACAGTGACTTATTGATTCTCATTCTGCTAAATTGTTATTTAATAACAGTTATTAAATGACTAATATTAGGGTAAGGGTATTGGTACTCCTTAAAACTACGGCCACCCCTAACCCTAGTACTAGTATACAGCAGTGCATCTATCGCCCACACACAGTAAGTACGTCATTTGTTTCATTCCCTCCTTTCCACTTCGTAATTGCAATGCGGCCAGGGGACTGAACTCCGGCGTACTCCATAATAAGTGGCCGTAGTTTTAAGGAGAACAATTAATTTTGTTATTGAAAATTACTCCTTCTCTTTCAGAGTCTTCTTGAAGTTCTTCTTCGCGTTCACCGGCTGTAAACTCCGGCGGAAAGTTCTGGTCGTTTGTCCACCTCCGGACTTTAGACCTGTTCCAGAACCTGAGTGTGCAGGGCACATCAGTTTTACAGATCTGACTTATTTGTATGCTGACTGTTAGGTTCTCGCATCTCAAGCAGTTGTACTCCGACTTTAGTGGAAACCCCCAATTAGTCGACTCTTATGACATTCTTATTGGGAAGGTAGAGGGTCAATTCTTGTTTTCCATGGACAATGGGGCCCCCAGACCTACACCCGGGTTCTTTCAAAGTATTATTGGGCTATCCTCCGAATAATGGTCCCAAATGATCGAGGCCAAAAATATACCCTAACAGGGCTTTAGTCACTTGTCGATTGCATACTTCCGGGGACTATACCGTAGAGTGTTCCCCACGCTGCTCATGCCGCTTGGATTGGGGCTACACTAGATGGCTGGGACTCACGAGCAAATAAAATAAAGGAAGCTGCAGGAGATGTGGTAGCTGCTGCTCGTGAGTCCCAGCCATCTAGTTTAGCCCCAATCCACGGTGCTCAAGCGGCGTGGGGGATATTTTCTGCGGTGGCAGAAGTGCGAAATTTAAGTCGCGGGAAGTGCGCAACTGACACTAGACTGAGGCCCTGTTAGGGTATATTTTCGGCCTCGATAATTTGGGACCGTTTTTTTGGAAGATAGCCTATTATTGAATATTAATGATATTATTTGAAGTCATGATTCTATAAACCAAGACGTTAATTAAAAGTAAACAAAAAAAAATACGTAGAGTAGAATTATTCAGCTTAAGTTCACTCAGAGGCCAAAATGTTGAAAATGGGGTTCTTCTTGGGCCAGAGGCCCGAGGCCCTGCATATAAAGATCATTAACTCTTTAAATCCCGGGGGTAAACATCATAGGTCCAAACGGTAGCAGAGAGAGATCATCTAAAATCAGCACATACTGCGTTATTTGGGCTTCTGGGTAGGAACCTGTGATGTGTTCCCGTGGACAGAGAGGGTTGATATCATACAGTCGGCAACGATCCGCAAGCCACTTGCTAGTCCTCTGTGAGCCAGAATCAGCCACCAGATGAATAGTCCTGAGGTAGAGCATGAGGTAGACCAAGAACTAGATGGAAAGATATCATAAGAGAAACTCTACAACAACATAATGAGTAATGTGTCTATGCTGGAGGTGAACAGAAGAGAAAGAAGCAGAACGTTACGTCTCCCTCTACACCAAAGCGGTAAAAGAAAAAAGGGAAGAAGAAGATTTTGACCTAAACATTTGTAAAGTAAAATTTTCTAGGAGGAGAGAATTAACAGCAGATATCTTAAAACTGTAGATGCTAGCCATTCCCATAGCACACTTATTATTATACGTATGTCATTCCTTGCTCTCATACGTCCATCCTCACGGGATCCACTCCTGATTCCTCGTTCACACATTCTTACACGTTTTTTTCATCTAACCTGGTACTGGAAGTACAGCTTGTCTGTCATTTAATCATACAAATTATCCACTACACATTATGTTCCACTGATGCCTTATTCTTGCGCTAACAAATGAAACCTGTTGTTTTAACACGCATGTCACGTTGCATAAAATGGGATATTATCACACATAATCATGTCCCTCAGGTGTGAAGCCTCATAATTGGTTAGGGCGGTTAGACATAATGGTAGTCGTATAGTTACAGTTTCTTATGATGCATCATATTTGGTTAATGCAGGCAGTGTAATGGATTAACATAACATAACAACCCTTGACCCATTATGGTCGTGCAGGTGTACCGATGGAAGCACTAACACACAAAACCCATCATCTTCCTGTCTTCAGCTTGATGCACAAGTGTATGATAACCTAGTTCTGTCAGTTTCTTGATGTTATTTCAGATTCTTCTTTGCCCTTTTTCTTCTTCGTCTCTTACACCTCAATGTTCTAATGTATTAAAGCAGTCATATGTGAAATAGCTTCAGCAAAAGCAACATGTCACAACATGGAGAATATTCTGCACAGTCTTTCTTTGTCATGCTTTTAGGGACCCCTGGGTTTAGTCCTCCCCCCCCCACCCACTGAATGGGGCCCCATAACCCACACGGGAAAGTAGTTATAGTAATGCTGTCTGTCTGTTGAGGTGCATCATTTGTTCCAAGTACCCTGATAATAGTACTGTCATGGTAGTGTTGTGATACATCATTAGTTTAGAGTACTCAGTGCAATGATAGAAGTACTAATACAGTACTGGTGTTATACATTATTTGTTGGTTTGATCTGATTTTGATTCAAGAACCGACACCACAGCACTCAGGGCATTCCCATAAGCGTTTCCGTCTCCATCTTCAGCAGCCAGCGAAGAGTTCAGATACTAATGGTGCCAGTCGTATTCTGATTAAACGTCCGTCTTGCCTTTCCTCTGAGCCTTGAGCATCTGCCAAAACCTCTCGTCCCCCCCCCCCCCTTTCCCCCCGCATCATTCTCACCAGACTGTGTGATCCATCTGCTCCTCCAAACTACACGCTCTCCCACAAGGCATTAACCACGTCTGCCTTATCATGTATCAGTATTCCACCAAGTTGTGCAGAGCCAGCCAGTCTGTCTGCCTGTTCATTTCCCAACACACCGGTGGACCTGTGAAAAATCCAGACAATACTCCTCACCCGTGTTCTCCGCAGCGAAGCATGCCTGTTCTGATCTTCTTCAGCATGCTTTCTGAATCAGTTATCATGATGTGTGTGTGTGTCATGTTCTCTAGCCAGCGGAAAGCTGCAGTGATTGCCTCCACCTCCATTCTTAAGCTGTTGTGGTATCATATGCTAGGCTCTCCTGCACCAAATGTCGGCCATTAACTTTTGCTAAGAAGCCCCAAGCACTTCTTTTGCCTCTTGACACTGAACTGTCTGTGTGAATGATCAAATCCTCTGTAAGAGCATTATCTTGAATTAATGGCTGAATTTCCACCTCTGTGGCACCTGCTGGCCAGTCTCTTCATTCCCAGCTCAGCATGAAACATTATTTGTTTAGAGTATTTAGTGCAGTGATAGAAGTACTGTTACAGTACTGTGGTGATAATCATTGTTTAGAATACTTAGTGCACTGATAGAAGTACTGATACAGTTCTGTTTTGATACATTTGTTTAAGAGTAAGTGCACTGATATAAGTACTAATACAGTACTGTTGTGATACATCATTTGTTTAAGAGTACTTGCTGCAGTGATATTAGTACTATTACAGTACTGTAGTGTTAATAGTGATACATCACATTTTGTTTAGGGTGTTTAGACATTGTAGTGAAAGTAGTCCTATTTAAGCTTGTTTTTATGTTTAGGCTGGTTTTAGTAATAAAAATACAGTTGTCGAAATAACCGGTGTTGTGTAGATGGTAGCTGGTGAAGTGTGCCGTTGCTGTTTTATCACTGGCAAGCTGTCGCTGTTGACAGTTTGTTAAAGGCTGTGGATTATAAAAATGTCAGCTGGATCAACAACTGCCATGGAGAGCGCAGGCACTGGTAATCCAGAAAAGGACATTGTCGTTTTCGGGGGACTTTTTCAGACGATCATCAACGATTTGAGGGTATGTTCATTTGATTGTTTTTTTTTTATTTCAACTGAAATTTCACAGCATGTTGATTTTTATGTTCTTCTTCATGTTCACCAGCTGTAAACTCTGATGAAAAATTATGGTTGTTCATCCACTTTAGGACTGCAATTCTGTTCCAGAACCTGAGTGTTGCGTGTTCCGTTTTACAGATCTGACTGATTTGTATGCAGACTGCTGGTTCCTTGCCTCTCAGGCAGATGCACTCTGACTTTGAAGGAAGCTCCCAGTTAGTCGACTCTTACGACATGCTTTTGGGTAGGCAGTGGGTCTATTCTTGTTTTCCCTGTAATAGGGCCCCGGAACCCACACAGGTTTCTTTTAAGTTGAAATAAGAACAGGGATCACAGTGACGTGACTTCATCCCACTGGGTTACCGCATATAGCTTGTGTTGGCTGTGCAGAACGGATATTGTGATTATTTTCTTTCTTTCTTCACACTGGAACAGCATGGAAGTATTCTCCTCCTTCTCATTATTATTAGATTCACCTGCAGTATTCTCTAAACAATTCTCACTATTTCTGGATGTCTTTTTTCTTTCTAGAACCCACATTCATATCTGTATTACAGATCTGGCTTATTTGTATGCAGAATGTAGGTTGCTCATCTCTGAGGCATATGCACTGCAGCTTTAAATAAAATGCCCCCAATTAGTCGCTTTGTTTCGGTTAGAGAGCCAGTGGCTCTATCGCTCCCCCCACCCCCAACCCCCAGTGGGACCCCAAAAGCCACACAGGGAACTGAGGATTCAAATCTGAGTCTCCTGCATAAGGGTCTAGCATTCTAACCACTCGACCTGCAGCTTCTCATTGCAGTGTAACTTAGCCTTTACTTAGAATTATTGTTTATGAATTGTTTTCTGGTTGACATTTGTCATTTCATGAAGGCAAGGCATGCCTAGACACACCTACTTGATCAGGAAACTTGAGGCACTCCAGGATTATAGGTGTGGGTGGGGAATAACTAGGCCAGGTTACACCTTTACCAGTGTCAGTTTGATATGGATGAATGTCTGTGGCGAACAGGTAGATTTCCTGCTGTGGGTTATGTCGGTTATGAGGATAGGTCTGTCGCTACATCCAGGGCAAGCCCATGAGTGCTCTACCTCTCTCTCTCGCTGCTCTAAAGGTGTGCCTTGTCGAGGATATAATATCTGCTAGGTCCTGATAATGTCATGAAGTGACATGTTCCATTCCACACTCTTTCCTCTTCCTGAACTATTTTGGTCCCAAGTGCAGCACTTTGTACTATCATGCTACAGTTTGTGTGCATCACACAAGATATGTTGTACTATCATGCTACAGTTTGTGTGCTTCACACAAGATGTGGTGTAGTATCATGCTACAGTTTGTGTGCTTCACACAAGATGTGTACTATCATGCTACAGTTTGTGTGCTTCACACAAGATATGTTGTACTATCATGCTACAGTTTGTGTGCTTCACACAAGATATGTTGTACTATCATGCTACAGTTTGTGTGCTTCACACAAGATATGTTGTACTATCATGCTACAGTTTGTGTGCTTCACACAAGATGTGGTGTACTATCATGCTACAGTTTGTGTGCTTCACACAAGATATGTTGTACTATCATGCTACAGTTTGTGTGCATCACACAAGATATGTTGTACTATCATGCTACAGTTTGTGTGCTTCACACAACATGTGGTGTAGTATCATGCTACAGTTTGTGTGCTTCACACAAGATATGGTGTAGTATCATGCTACAGTTTGTGTGCTTCACACAAGATGTGGTGTAGTATCATGCTACAGTTTGTGTGCTTCACACAAGATGTGTTGTACTATCATGCTACAGTTTGTGTGCTTCACACAAGATATGGTGCATTATTCTTTCACACTGTAAAAGTAAAGTTAACATCATCATCATGTAGCAGGTCCTTTGCAGAACGTCACTCTCATCACAGAAAGAAACTCAGTCTCTCGCCAGTTCTCCCGCCTCATGAGCTTTCATATCTAAGGGGTAAAGTGCAAAAGTAAAGTAAAGAACCCTTTTTCACGCCTTTAGGCATATAAGACACCATACCAGACAAAGCATACGTGGAAAGAGAAGAAGGACGTAGAGCACGGGGTAGACCAAGAACAAGATGGAAGGATAACATCAGAGAAACTCTACAACAGCACGATGTGCCTATGGTCGAGGCAGCCAGAAGAGCTAGAAACAGAACCTTATATCTCCCTCGACACCCACAGCGGTAAAAGAGGAAGTGAAGAAGAAGAAGGCATATAAGGCTAGACCTGTATTTTATAGACCAATTGGCACAAAAGTGGTGATGTCAGCATCACGTCCAGTGAATCCAAGACAAACTGATTTTTGTATGTCTCTCTCTTTACTACCACCTGGGCCTCTTATGCTAAATCCCCTAGGACTGAAAGAGTTAAAAGGATAATTTACTGATAATGTTCACACCCATTATGTGATTTCCTTACCTTTCGGCCCAACTCATTAGATTTCAAGAAACCTAATTAACCGCCTTTTATGACATAATTATTAAGTGGTAGTTTGTTTTGTAACTCCCCCTTCCCCTTTTCCCCCCCTCCTCTTTTCCAATGGGTCCTAGAACCAACACAGGGAGTTATATTTCTTTGTTCTTGACCGAGGTGTTCTGAGGAACTTGTTACTCTTGCAGTGCAAAACAGTCAGCATAACCATTCTTCTTTGTCTTCACCGGTAGTAAACTCTGACAGAAAGTTCTGGTTGTTTATCCACTTCTGGACTTTGGTCTTGTTCCAGAAAGTTTTGAATTTAGACTGTTGGACCCTGGCCTCTGTCAGGCAGAGATACACTACGACTTCAGTGGAATCACCTCTGATTGGTAGACGCGTTGCAGCATGGTTGTTAGAAAGGCAGTGAGCCCCCTCCCCCCTTCCAATGAGTCCCTAAAACCCACTCGGCCACTGAGACCCACCCACAGGTTACATCAATGACTATACCAGAGTGGGTTCACAAAAACAACTGCCAGGAATCCAGAGGGGTTTAACACTGTGTTATATTATATTATTGCAATCACCGCCTGTGCACACATTGGGCATCCTCATGCGTGTTCAGTCCTACGATGCAAGTCACTCCAAGATACCTCTACTAATCCTTCCCATGAGGAGTTGTGAGACTGTAAATGGTTAAACCCTGTGTTGTGAGACTAAATGGTTAAACCCTGTGTTGTGAGACTGTAAATGGTTAAACCCTGTGTTGTGAGACTAAATGGGTAAACCCTGTGTTGTGAGACTAAATGGTTAAACCCTGTGTTGTGAGACTATAAATGGTTAAACCCTGTGTTGTGAGACTGTAAATGGTTAAACCCTGTGTTGTGAGACTGTTTTTAAAGTGGTGGCATTCCAAACTGACAGGTGTGAGTCACATGGCAGTCTGCCATAAACTTGCCAGTTTGTATTGATTGTTTCTTCATTCTGGTGTTGTCACCTGGCCCAGGTATACAGACTAGTGTATCCTACGACCTTTACAGCTTTGACATTGATTACTCCCATAAGGTCAAATATTTGGTTCCAATAGATGTAACCATGTTAGAATATTCCCTTTATAGGTTCTCAGGCCCCCTGACAAGCATGCTCTAAAAGATGGCTGATTAGGTTTTTAGTGAAATCAAGTATGTTGGGCCAAAAAGCACACATACGGCTGCCCAGCTGTAAACCACAACATAGTGTACCGACTGTCTTAAGGGTATATGCAGATGGAGATATGTCCAGGACAGAACATCTGAATGTGTGGAAGTGATCTGTCAGCTGATTTATTTTATGGTTTGACATCCATCTTTGTGACACTTGTGTTTGCCAGTGTCTGCCTTCTCATCATGCGACTTGTCAGTAAGTTAAGACTTTCATGTTTTGCCATCCCACACACTTTTACCAGACTCACAGATCAGGTCAGTGTTTTTTTGTCGTGCCATTTCCGTATTGCTAGGCCCTTCAATTATTTATGTCTCTGCTTTTCCCTTGCTCTTTCTCGTGCCAGACTTTAATAAGTTCTTGTCCATTTCTTCTCATAACATGCACGCAAAACACCAACTGTCTGTGTCTAAGTTTTCCCAATCAGTTTATGACTTTCCTCTGTCTTGAGGGGAAGTGCCTGTTTTGTTTTTCTATGATTCCATAGATGTGCATTGTTTTGAAAGGAATGCCAAATATAACACGCAGTGTGACTAGAAAGCTTAACGGAGGGAATAGATAGAGCTAATGAGTTTTCCTCTCACAGTTTGTGCTGTATTTAGTACTCTGTTGATAAAGACTTTGGTCAGAACATTCGGTTGTTTGTGTGCGTCTCTTCCATTTCCTCCGTTGAATTTTCTAGTCAAATGTTGTGTTATATTTAACATTTTTTGCGGTCAGCTCGACTGCGGTCACTCCCTTATTTACATTCATTCTTTTGAGCATAGATACTGATTAGTGGTGTTGTCCTTTTCAAATATAGAGCTGTGTACAAGTGGGCATGGATGATACTGATTTTAAGGTAGATTTGTAAGAATGCGATGCACAGCATTGTGTAAAGGAAGAACATTTGGAAGGAATGGAGATAAAGGAGAAAATGGCTGCAGAGAGAAGAAACTGGTTGAAATGCATCTGATGGTCACAGTCTTGACATCCTATACTCTGACTGTGGAAGACTTTGTAATGTGAGTGGGTCTTGCTGGGTCACAGTCTTGACATCCTATACTCTGACTGTGGAAGACTGTAATGTGAGTGGGTCTTGCTGGGTCACAGTCTGGACATCCTATACTCTGACTGTGGAAGACTTTGTAATGTGAGTGGGTCTTGCTGGGTCACAGTCTGGACATCCTATACTCTGACTGTGGAAGACTTTGTAATGTGAGTGGGTCTTGCTGGGTCACAGTCTGGACATCCTATACTCTGACTGTGGAAGACTTTGTAATGTGAGTGGGTCTTGCTGGGTCAAAGTCTGGACATCCTATACTCTGACTGTGGAAGACTTTGTAATGTGAGTGGGTCTTGCTGGGTCACAGTCTGGACATCCTATACTCTGACTGTGGAAGACTTTGTAATGTGAGTGGGTCTTGCTGGGTCACAGTCTGGACATCCTATACTCTGACTGTGGAAGACTTTGTAATGTGAGTGGGTCTGGCTAGTCACACGTGCCATCGCCATGGGCAGACTAATCTCATATCTTTCTTTAGCACAGTCTAACACTATCATCTGTGTTGTTCCCCGTGTGGGTTCCAGGGCCCCATTGTGGGGGAAAACAAGAATAGACCCACTGCCTCCCCAACAAGCATGTTGTAACAGTCGACTAACTGGGAGCTTCCTTCGAAAATCTGCATCTGCCTGAGAGGCAAAGAAACAACAGCATGCATACAGATAAGTCAGATCTGTAAAATGATGTGCATGAAGCATTCAGATTTTGGATCAAGACTAAAGGACAGAGGTAGACAAACAACCTTCCCACGGAGTTTACAGCCAGTGAACATGAAGAATAAGAAGACTGTCATCTGGAAAGGTGCCAGCTAACCCACTTTCATATTTCTGATTTCAGAGTAGCTCTCCAATATTGGAGGAATTTACGTACAAGTCAGTAAAGCTGCATGCATCCTTGAAGTAAGTATATGTTCTTTTTCTTTAGTTGGTATCTTATCATAAACACAATCATCAGTTTTTTTTTTATTGTTCACTGAGGAATATAGGGCTTTGATAGTTACATTTTTATTCGAATTCTTGCGTACAAATGAGTCAGATCTGTAAAACGGATGTGCAAGAAACACTGAGGTTCTGGAGCAGGACTAGAGTTCACATGTGGACGAACAGCCAGAACTTTTTTGCAGGAGCTTACAGCTCGTGAACACAAAGAAAATAGAAGTACACTAATAAATAGAATATAACAGTATAGCAAACATTACATGTGTTTTTGAAATGGATTTTTTGTTCTTTAGAAAAAAAAAATAATTTACCTTACATAAAAATAGACAGTTATTCCGGATGTAATCATATAGAGTGCTTGCCAGTTGTTGCTATCATTTGGTGTGTCTAACAACAGAATAGAACATGAAAAATGGCTGGGTGTAATATTATCTCTAAGACCTGAGCACAGAACAACATCTGCAGTGCATTGTGTCACACAGGATTTCATTGTAATCAGACCTTAAAAGATACTGTTTGAAACAACTACGATTATTCATTACTCTTCTTTCTACAATTCCACCTCAGTTTCCAGATTCTTTTCCCCTACAATTTCAGGATTTCTTCTTGTTTCACTTGAATTTAAGGATTTCTTGTGCAATGTCACTTCACTTTCAGGATTTATTCTACAGTTCACCCAAAAATTGTCATAAGAAATGAGAGAATCTAGTTGTGAAGTTGGTGTGTTCAACATCTCCTAAAGCTTTTCTTCAAAGGGAGTGTATATAGATTAGACTCAGGAGCCAACATTTTGAAAATGGGAATCATCAGCAGCCAGATGGCGGATCCATAGCAAAGACACATCATTTATAAGTACAACTGAAAATGACCTGCAGACCACTTGCTAGGATTCCGCGGGCCAGATTAAGTCCACGGGCTGCCAGTTGCAAAGCCCTGTGCTAGAACATTGTCTCACTGTCTCTTCGACTCTTTCTCTCTGTCTCTTCAGCACTTTTTTTTTAGAATTTATTCTTTTTGAAGATCCCCCACACAGGCCTGCAGGTTGCACCGGGCTAGTGTGTCCTAATTATAACTTCTTTGGAGGTTAAACAGGGTGTCATCTGTCCTGAGAGACAAGGAACCTATAGTCTGCATATACATAAATCATACATGTAAAACAGATGTACATGCAACACTCAGATTCTGGAACAAGACTATAAAACCTGGACGTGGGCGAATATCCAGAACTTTCAGCCAGAGTTTACAGCCGGTGAAAATGAAGAAGAACAGGGTCTTAGGGATTAGCCCTGTTGGCTTGCCATCCAGATTGAGATTTTGTAGTCTCATGGTGGTCAAACTTTCAAGTAGTAGCCGAGGGGAGGGGGGTGGGGTTGAAAGGAAAGTAGATGCTTCTTCTTCCGTCAGCATGTATCAGTTTATGAGTTAAGACCTTTCTCTGTCATAAAAAATTCATCTCATTGTCTTCCTCTGTCTCTCTTCCCATAAATATTTCTTGTTGTCACGTGTTCAGGTTTCTTTCTTCTAATACCATGCCCATAAAATGGAGACTGTCTCTTCTCTTTCTGGGGTTTATAATTTGTTGTTTTCGTGGCCTATCTTTTCCCCCCTAAATATCTGGATGGCTCATTTTGACTGTCCAAGAAAGTTTAAGCATTCTTCGATAAGAACACATCTCTGAGACCTTCAGAAATGTTTTGGCTTGTTTACTTATTGTCCATGACTGATAGTCGTATGTTAAAAATGGCTGTGTGTGGAAAATAAGAATTTGTTGTAATTTTCAATGACAAATTATTTGCGTAATTTTTTAATTTTATAAAATGTATCTTTTGGTGACTTGCTACACACATCACAGATACCCGATGTCTGTCCCTTAAGATAAATAACAACACATATAGTTCTCCTACTTAATCTGCACACCCACACACATATTTTAACTCACAAACAGACACTGTACACCACACATGACTCTTCCACTTGATGTGTGGGCGCATACACACATTAAATCCACAGATGGCTGTTCTTCTTGATGTTTACACCTGCACATTAAATCACAAAGTGACTTGCTGGACCATGCCATGTTCACACAACCATGCCATGTTCACACCACCATGCCATGTTCACACCACCATGCCATGTTCACACCACCATGCCATGTTCACACCACAATGCCATGTTCACACAGCCATGCCATGTTCACATGACCATGCCATGTCACACGTTAGTTAAGTCCTCCCTTATCAAGCATGTTTCCATGTATCCGTTCACACAGCCATGCCATGTTCACACCACCATGCCAAGTTGACACAACCATGCCATGTTGACACCACCATGCCATGTTCACACCACCATGCCATGTTCACACCACCATGCCATGTTGACACGTTGGTTAAGCCCTCCATTATCATGCATGTTTCCATGTATCCGTTCACAGAACCACAGTTGTGGCTGTGGGGGCTTTCCTTGAAGCCTTCCAGAAAGTGGCTGATATGGCTACCAGCTCTAAAGGTGAGCATTTATCTGTGTATCTTGTCATTTATGTTATGTGTTATGCCTGCAACACCTGTTGTTATATGTTATGTCAAACCTATTCTATTATTGAAATATTTTTATTATGTCAGCTGTTGAGTCAGACCTGTCCTGGTATGTGAACCTCGTATCTTTTATGTTAGACTTATTATGTTATGTGAAGTCCTTGTTATCGATTATATCAAAATTGTTCCTGTTACTGAACATCTTGTTGGCTGTCATACCTGTTCTGTTATCAAACCTCTTGTCTGTTATGTCAAACTCATTTTGTTTTGTGAACTTCTTATTGTTCGTTGTCTCAAAGGTATTCTGTTAATGTGACCTTTTTGTTATCTGTTATGTCAAACATGCTCTGCCATGGGAACTTCTTGTTATCTGTTATGTCAAACATGCTCTGCCGTGGGAACATCTTGTTATCTGTTATGTCAAACATGCTCTGCCGTGGGAACATCTTGTTATCTGTTATGTCAAACATGCTCTGCCGTGGGAACATCTTGTTATCTGTTATGTCAAACATGCTCTGCCGTGGGAACATCTTGTTATCTGTTATGTCAAACATGCTCTGCCGTGGGAACATCTTGTTATCTGTTATGTCAAACATGCTCTGCCGTGGGAACATCTTGTTATCTGTTGTGTCGAACGTGCTCTGCCACGGGAACCTCTTGTTGCCTCTACCGTCAAACCGATTCTGTTATGTTGAACTTTTTCATGATTTTTTTAAAAACCTATCCCAAATCTCCAGCTTTTACTCCTCTACCTCCTGCTTGTCTTCCTCCTCATTTTCCTCGGTCTGTATGTTTATTGTTTGGAGACCCATTGTGGCTGTTAATGTGTTGGGGGGGGGGGGGGGGAGGTGGAGTATGAAAAGCAGCTTACTTAAAGGTAACAACGAGCACCCTATTGTGAGATCCATGGTATTTTCTCATCCCCCGCACACACACGCGCGCGCGCGGTGGGAGTGCTTCGTGAATGCCTGTTAACTTTGTTGTGTAACACACCTGCTGTACACACCCTTTTTTAATAATATGGAACACGATTTCTGTTTTGTTATTTTAAAGTTACTCGTTGGGGGTTCTAATATAACCTAAATGTTGAACGGGTTTTTTTGAGACTTGTGCCCAGAGGATTCTCATCCGAATGGTGGCACGTTGCATCACCAGGTGTTTATCGCACATTGTACGGTCCTGGTGGGGTTGGACTTCACGCAGGAGAGGCGCAGAACTTGTCTTGCCGAAGGACACCTGCTGGGCTTTTCAAGACACACAGTAGCTTGAAAATGGAACTATCATCTGTTTATGTAGTAGTTTTTTAAAACCAGCTTCTTCTTCTTTCGTTCGCTTAAAATAGATGATCTATATCTGCAATGCTGTCTCTAGCACGAACTTCACTGTCTTTTGTAATTCACTCAGTGACCCGTAAAGTTTGACCGATGTCTCTCTTGGCCAAAAGTTTTGCCTGGATATGTTGTATTTGGGACAGTCTTGGAGGACATGATCTGTTGATCTTCTTCTTTTTTCTCTCCTCTTCTTCTTCTTCTCCTCTTCTTCAGCAGTCCGAGTCCTTGGGGTTCATTGCTGCATATGTCAGCTGTCTCCATTCATCTCTGTGATTGGCCTTCTCTCTCCAGTTGGTCACTCTGGGTGGGTGGGTAGGCAGGTGCTTTGCTGAAGAAAAGAAGTTCGGGAGAATGACAGAGTATGCTATTGATGATTATGCCATAATCATTATCAAGGCCCCGATCTTCATCCTAGGGCGCATTAATGAATTCTCATTATTCATAGTTTACTGCGCATCTTTTCCGGTCACAAACAGGACGGTGCGTTTGAGATCTCTACTCTCCCCGTGTGTGTTTCGGGGTCTTATTGTGGGCAAAACAAGAATAGACCCGCTGCCTCCCCAACAAGCAAATCGTAGGAGTCGATTAATTGGGGACTTCCTTCAAAGTCGGAGTGCTTCTGCAAGTAACAGCCAGCTGCATACAAACAAGTCAGTAAAACGGATATACACGCAAAAGTTTGGCCCAGGTACAAAGACTTTCCGCCAGAGCTTGGAGTCAAGATTCAGTGAGCCAAGAAGAAGCAGATCTGTGCTGGTGCCCCATAGTTTATCTTGAGGGTCACATTTCTTCTCTTCTGACTGGAAAATGTATGCAGTTTTTTTAACACCTGTGGTTTTCATTCTATTCTCACTTTCATCTTTCTCTCTTCCTTATTGTTCCCTTGCCTCATCCCTTAAGCCCTCTAGTTTATCACTATGATTGCTTCACATCTGCCGATTGTTGTTCCTCGCATGATGTGGCTGTGTGGTTTCCCACAGAAGTTCCGTCAATGAGATAAACGAATGACGTCAGCGGGCTGGTATGTGGTCGACAGCTTTCGTTTGTCCGAGGATGTATTATTGATTTTACGTTGAGCAACTTCTGGCCAGCAGGAGCCTAGTGTAGGGGCCGAGTGTGGGTGCCGCATGTAGGGGCCGAGTGTGGGCGCAAAAAGAAGTTCCCGTGTCGGAGACAGGCCTGCAGGATGTTGTCAGTAGCTATGTGGTGCTTAGGAATGTATATATGATAAACAAATAGGGCACTCATAGAAAGAAGTGGAAAGATTACAGAACACATTAAAGTAAGTAATTTCCAGGCTTTATATTTTTTTAGGCATATAGGGCTAGACCTTTTTTATTGAACAATCGGCACTTGCTGGCCGCGTTTACTTCCCAGGACTGCACCTGGTACCCACTCAAGGCTGAGTCGACCTGGGAATCAAGGGTATCTTTTTTTTTAAAAATGTCAGGCTCATGACGAGAACCCACGACCTTCCGATCCACTGGCGGGCGTCTAGCCGCCAAAGCCACGGTGACTTCTAAAGGACACATCAGACTAAACGAAAATGGAAAGCTATATTTTCCATACCGGGAATCAGACCTGTGACTCCAGATGACGAAACCCCCTTACTGTAGGGACAAGTCTGCTAAGTTCTTTTGTTTCACCCCATCTCGGGGGCTCCAAGGTTTCTTAAAGAATTCTCGCAAAAGTTTAATATTATAAAGGGATTAAGGTTAGTATTGGTCGGTGTTTACTCTACACCCTAACACCCCTATACTTTAAGACTCCCAAAAATTCCCTGCGAAATCTCGGAGCGCTCGAGACGGGGTAAAATACAAGAAAAGAACCGTCTCATCCTTCCTCTGAGTGTTGAGCCTCGAGCAGATCTCCTGGCAACTTCTCGCAGCGCCATTCTCCTCAGACCGTAATGATCCATCTACGCCTCCGCACTGTTCACCCGTTCCCAAAGAGCCCTCACAGTATCTGACTTGTCATACATCAATTAACCACCAAGTGGTGCAGAGCCAGCCAGTCTATCTGCCTGCTTATTCACCAACACACCGGCATAACCTGGAGACAATATTCAGAGAATGCTAACTACCCGGGACCTCTGAAGTGATGCTTGTCATTCTGCACGGAGCATGATTGTTTTCACCTTGCTCAACATGCTCTGTGAGTCAGTTACAATCACGGCATGTGTGTTGGTTAGTTGCGTATCCTTAACAGGACGTTGTAGAACCAACCCCCAACAGCCCCTGGCTGTTGAATGGTTTTTCTAGGCAAATTTACGTCTAGTAGTTTGCCATTGCTTTCTGGGCAGTCGGCTTTCTTGATACCACTGTCGAAACCAAGAACGTAACCGCAGATGGGATCGAACCCGGCATCCCGGAGCGTTCGCATCGACTTAGTCACAGAGCTGACCATGTGTGTTGAAGAGAAGAAAAAGTTATAACAATCGAAATTGTCCTTCCTCTCAAGAAAATATCACCGTTAGAAAAACCACTTTGATGCTCCAAATAAAACGACCCAGCGGTCAAGTGGGTCAACCAAATCGTGGTCAATGTTTACCCAGAAGCCGATGGCCGGACCGCCGTTCCCAACTTGTATATGTGCGGTTCCGTCTAGGGAATGTTGCCCAGTACAGAAATACACACAAATGGCGACATTCCACGAGTTTTTGTGGCGGAGACCTGGCTCACAAACTGTTTAGAATGCGTGCCTGTTGTCTCAAAGTTTGCTTCGGTCTGGCTGGGAGACTGACTTGGTGGTTATATTTCTCACGACACCGGCTCCCCTTGGGTACATAAGTTTGTTTAAGCAGAGAAAGTCCAATAGTTAACTTTAGGAAGTTACTGTTTTTTAGTTACTATATGAGTTGGCTGATCCTCATAACATAACATAACCCTCGACCCATTAGGGTCGTGGAGGTGTGTTGATGGAAGCCATCTTTCTCTGTCTTCTGCTTGATGGATAAGTAAATGTATAACTTAGTCCTGTCCATTTCTTGATGTTGTCATTCCAGATTCTTTTTTGCCTTCTTCTTCTTCGACTACCCCCAATGTTCGTTGAAGTAAAGTCTTTGCATAGCATCATGTCTCACCACGTGCCCAAAACAAGCTAGCTTGTGATGTTTCACCCACGCCAAGAGAGAGGCTCCTGATGTTCCGCAAATTTGTTTATTCTGTCTCTGGCATATTTATTAGTTTTGTGTTCTAAACATCTAATTCATAAAATGCTGATCCTCATAGCGCAGTGTATACGGGAAGCTGTTGGGGTGTCGGTTAGACGCTCGCCTCTGTATCCGAAGGTCGTGGGTTTGACCCAGCTCTAATGAGTACCAGATGAAGTCCTGAGAAGTAAAGGCGGCCGGCGTTGTGCTGACCACTTCACCTACCGAGATCCGATTGGTCTACAAAATATCGGTCTAAGCTAGGTCATTAAAAAAAAATTTCGGCTTCGTCAGGATCTAAACCCATACCTCCTAATTCGCAGATTTAGCATCTAGCTGCTACATCACAGCTGCTCCCACGTCGTGGAGGGCTCGCAGTCTATTCACGCGCAGTCTCTTTATTATAATTGAAATGAGCGAGCTGACCAACTGGCAAGCTTTGCACTAGGGCATGTGGGTAGAAGTGAGCTGACCAAACTGGCAAGCTTTGCA